CGCTGGAGAAGGATGTCATGCTGGGTAAGATGGAGAGTTAGAGAAAAAGAGGAAGACCCCCAGTGAGATGGATCAGCCAGGTGGCATCATTGATGGCTCCAAGTGTGGCAGCGGTAGTAAGTTTGGCCCAGGATCAGACATTGTTAAGTTCTGTTGTGCATGGGGTTGCTATGAATCGGTTCCGACTCGATGGCACCTGACAACAACAACCTATTATTTCAAAGTTTTATGCTACTGTTTATAGATCCTTTAGCACAATAATGTAAGTGATCACTAGTTTTGGTATTGGTACAGTCTCCTTACTTAAAAGACAAAAATTTGAACGGTGTGGCACTGTGGGTTAGTGTGCCAGACTGCAAAGCCATTTGAACTGCAAGGTTGGTGGTTCCAGCTTACCAGCTACTCCTTGGAAACCCTATACAGGGTCACTATGGGTCGGAATTGACTCAGTGGCAGTTAACAAAAACAAAAGTGTTACGGTTATTACTTATTAAATAATATTTTATTGTATTTTTGGTTTACACAATAAATTACCATTTGACAATTGCTTTACAAACTGTTCAGTGACATTTGCTACATTTTCTACATCATTAGCATTCTTTGTGTTTGCTTCCATTTCCAGTACGCTTTCCCTTCTTACGTTGCTTTAGAGTAAATGCTGATCTTTTGGTCTCACTTTTTTTTGTTTTTTTTTAGTAGAACAGTATACTTAATTGTGATACCCTTTATTTTGTGTACCTCTTATTTCGCTAAAAGGTGATCTCAGGATAGTTTCATTACAAACTTCAAAGAGTATGTCAGGTCAATAATCTCAGGGAGTTCTCTGGTCTTAACTGGTTCTGTAAGACTGACCTTTCCTAAGAATTGATTTTTGTTCTACATTTTTGTCATATTTTATCTATAATCATTTATGGTGATTCTGGTCAGAATTGTTGGCAGTGGTAGCAAGGCACCATCAATTTTTTTCTGATATTGAGAGTGATGATACCATGGCTCCTATAGGTTATAAGCCTTGTTGAGTACTTTATTGTCTAAGACTTTGGTTTCCTTCTTGCTCTTTTGCTCCTGATGAGTAAAGACCAATAGTCATATTTTAGATGACTGCTTATAAGCTTTTAAAATACCAGACGCTACTCATGTCACTAGAATATAGAACATGAACTTTGTGGACTATATTGTTCCGTGAGACTAAAGTCCTAAGCCTTCACACCTGGAAAACCAGTCTTAACGAGTTATTTGGTTGTGTCTGAGAAGTAAGATAATTGTGTCTCTGAATAGATAAGGGAGCTTAAAAAACTTCTTGTAAAAAATGAAATGAAAAGATACTGAAATTTTTCCATGAATATTTTGAGGCTCCCTTATATGTGCCTGTTGTTGTGAAGTGCTGTCAAGTTGATTCAGACCCATAGCGACTCTGTATAGGGTTTCTGAGGAGCAGCTGGTGAGCTTGAACTGCTGACCTTGCAGTGTAAATGGCTTTGCAGTCTGTCACATTAACCCACAACACCACACCAGGCACACCAGGTGCCATCTAGTCAGTTCCTACTCATAGTGACCTGTATATGGTTTCTGAGGAGCAGCTGGTAGATTTTTGTAGCTGACCTCAGTAGTCCTGTGCTTATTCTGTAGCGCCACACCAGTATTTCATATACACATAACTGTTTCTGTCTTGGTACACATATGTGTACACTTGTACCTATATGCTTAATGTGACCATACACTTGTTTTTTTGGTCATAGTTAGCACTTCTTAGTGACATAATTTACTCTGGCCAAGTTGTATGCACTACACCCACATTTTGTGGTCCCCTTTTTATAATTTATTGGTTTTAAAGTCAGATTTATTGATATAATTTACATACAATGAAATTCACCTATTATACATAATCAGTTTGGATAAATCTACTGTCTTGTAGCTACAATCAAGCTATAGAACATTTCTAGCAACTTCAAAACATTCTCTCTGACTCTCTTCTACAGTTACTCTGTCTCATCCCCTCTGCTCACAGCCACTGGCTGATTTGTATTCAGTTCCTATAGTTTTGCCTTTCTGTGATTTCATATAAAAATGATCATATGATATGAGGGTTAGTGAACAAACATTGTTTAAAAAAAAATCATAGGTATTTATTAAACAAATGTATCTAACATGAAGCTGTTGTTTCTCACCATAATCTCCAGTTAGGTCTATGCAGGTGGTTCCATCTCTCTCATCCTTACCTGAAAATTCTTTGCTCAAGTTCTACCACATTAAAATGGCAGTTTTGGCATCCCTGGAAGGACTCACATTGTGTTCTTTTTCAATGTGCTTGAGATTTGGCCACAAAAAGAAGTCTGAAGGGGCAACATCAGGGCTGTAGAGTGAATGGGGTAAAGTTTTCCCCATGGAATTCTTGGACCACCCTTGCTACCCTCAGGGAATGAGCAGGTTCATTGTTGTGATGGAAAAAATTGCCTCGGTATGACTTTCCATTAAATATAACCAATATTATATTTCAAATTCTTGAAACTTATTTCTAATAAGCTTCATGATCATCCTATGTCCTTCAGAAATTCTATCAAGGTTATCCCTGTGAAATCCCAGAACACAGTCGCTGTGTAACCTTCAGTGCTGACCCTCTACCTTGACTTTACTGGCCAAGCCGATCTCCTCAGAGGTCGCTGTTTGGATTAGATTTGTTTTTTTAAGGTATGCTTAGACAAGTATTACTGTGAGAATTTGTCTGCAGTTATCCATTTACCACAGACACATGCTTAAACGTTTTACATTCCCATCAGCAATGTTCAAGGGCTCCATTTTCTTAACATCCTTGCTAACACTTGATATTTTCTATTATTTTGTGATTAGCCATCCTAATAGATATGAAGTGGTATTTCATTGTGGTTTTGATTGTACTTCCCTGTGTGATGTTGAGCATCTTTCCCCATGTTTATTGACTATTTGTCTTTGGAAAATTATATAGGGACTTAGTCCATTTTTTACTTGATGAATTCCAAATTACTTGGTGGTTTTGTTGTTGCATGTGCTTTTGTTGTTGCATCTAAGAATTCCTTGCCAAATCAAGGTCAGAAAGATTAACCCTACATTTTCTTACTTGTGTTAACTCATGCATTTAGGCCTTAGAGTTAATTTTGCTTGTGGTGTGGATATCTAATCAACCCAGCAATATTTGTTGAAGATACTGCCCATCCCCCTACTAATTGGTCTTTTTGCACCCATGTTGAAAGTCAGTAAGACATTGATAAATGGGGTTATATTTGGACTCTCACTTGTATTCGATTCTTTTGTACAAGAGGGCTTCAGAAAGTTCGTGAAAAAGTGGGATGAAAACATAATGGAATTTTCCACAAACTTTTTGAAGCCCCCTCGTATGTGGAGCCTTATGCCGTAGTGCTTGAGTTACTATAGTGTTGTCATAGTTTTGAAATCTAAAATTGTGCGTATACTCTTTAACTTTGTTCAAGATTGTTTTAGCTCCTCAGGACCCCTTAAAATTTCATATCAATTTACTGCACAAATGGATCTTGGAATTTTGATAAAGATTGCATTGAATCTGAAAATCATTTGGTGTTGTATTGTTATTTTAACAATATTAAAAGTCTTCCAGTTTATTAGCAGAATGTCTTGACATTTATTTAGGTCTTTAAATTCTTTCAGCAGTGTTTTGTAGTGAAAACTCCGAACAGTAGATTGCAAAATGTAATAATGTTATACCTTCTTGGTTAAATATATGTAAAAGTATTTTATTCTTTTGGAAGTTATTGAAATGGAACTGACTTTTAATTTCAGTTTTGAATTGCTGGTTGTGAGTCTATAGAAATACATTTTTGTGTGTGTGTGTGTGTATTATTTTATTCTGCAGCTTTCTTGAATTCATTGTTTAGCTCTAGTACCTTTCTTGTGGATTCTTTAGGATTTTTCCTATATAAGATTATGCCGTGTGCCTTGTTACTGCCAGGTGGGAATACATGTCCTTATTAAGCCTCTGCTGACCTTTACAACACAGAGACTGGACAGTTGGACAGTAGATTGCCTCTTACTTCAGAATGATGGTGGAAGTCCAGGCTTCCTAACTTCTGAGGCAGAGGCAGGAATCTCGGGGTACCTTGTTTTTTTTCTGAGCTTGGGTAGAATTCCAGGTTCCCTGCTTGGTCTTCGCTGATAGGGTTGAGGAGAGGCGTTCCATGGTGTTTGATTGGAGTTAAGATGATTATTGTCAAAAATGATTTGTCTTTTTGGGCTGCATGTTTTTCATTCCTTTGATGAAAAAAAAAACCAGGTTTTTCTAGTTTGTTACTCTTATTTGCCTATGCTCAAATAAATTTCTGCCTTTGAGCTTCTCTGTTTCCCAGTGTGGGAACTGTATAGAAGACAAATAGAAAACCCAAGAATTTCACTCAAATGTTAAGTCCCAGAGGTCCTTAGTCATCCTCTCAAACTTTCAGTTGTTTTACATATGTTTTATATTATTTTCTGGGGTCTTAGCTGAATTTAGTGAAATGAATAGGGAAAAATGTGTCTACTCATCTTGTCTGGGACTGAATGTTTTAAATTGATATAAAATAAAAACTCCATTAAGAACTAACTTTTTAAATGAACTGCTCAAAAATGTTTTATTCTTCAAAATGTATGACCACCATATTATTGTACTTTACTAAATTGTGCTTAGTTATACTTTAGAGTAAGTATATTATTTGTTATAGATATATATGTGTGTACATAAAAGCATATTTATGTTTATTTTTTAGGGTTATGTACTGAAGGACTCTATCGTGTTAGTGGAAACAAAACTGATCAAGACAATATTCAAAAGCAGTTTGATCAAGGTAAAAATATAATTATATAAAATAGCATCATTGTTGTATTGCTTTCCTTATTGAAATTTCATGATGGGAAAATTAATTTTTATTTTAACAACTCCTAGGGGATATATAGGTGGTAAAGGTAGAGAATTTAGCCAGTACTTTGAATACAGGCCATCTTGGGGTTGCCAATGAGATGTGTGCCTGTGTCTTTTAGAATTTGTAGGTCAGTCAGAGCAGGTGCTTATAGCTCACTTAACCTTACTTTAGTGCAAGAAAAGGACGGAAGCTTTTGTCATAATTTTAAACTGCTTCTGCAGCAAATGAAGATGATTCTGATGAATCGTCAGTGATTTCAGCATTCTTCCATCCAAACTTCACCATAAATGTGTTGTTTCTTGCTTCAGTTTTAGCAGAGTTCATGTTGGTCTGATAAAGGTTATTTCCAAATTGTTAGTGCATCAAACTAGATCATATTCAGACATGTTAATAGGAAGTTATAACAAGTTTATTTTGGTACAAAGTTGGTTTTTTTAAAATCCTCGTATAGTTTCTTTTTCACAACATGCATTTTCCGTAAACTTTTTGAAGACCTCTTATGTAAAGTGCATATCATGAGAATATTGAGCATTGATGCATTTGAGCTTTGGTGTTGAAGAATATTGAAAGTATTATGGACTGCTAGAAGAAAAAGCAAACCAATCTTGGAAGAAGTAGAGCTAGAATGTTCCTTAGAAGCCAGGATGAAGACTTCATATCGCATACTTCAAACATTGATTATCAGGATGGACTAGCTCTGGAGAAGGACATCATCCTTGGTAAAGTGGAGGGTCAGCAAAAAAGAGGAAGATAGATTGGCACAGTGGCATCAGCAATTATTATATCAATTGTAACAACAGTTCTAAGTATGACACTGGACCTGGGCAGTGTTTGGTTTGCATTGGATTAATATGAATTGGAGCCTATTCGACTATTCCTATCAATTTAAATTTAAACATTTATTTATTAGGAATGTTGTATAACATGCTGTACAAATATAATTATATAGTTATCTACTCATTTACGTATAAATCTTTGGTCTTACATAGATCTTGCTTTTATTTAAAAAAAAAAAATCATGTTTTTAAATGTAGTTGAGTAGATTGTTTTTATGTAATCTTAGAGTAGCAAAAGACCTAAACTTGATAAGAAACCTAGAAAGTGTGAACAAGATCATAAACTACTCCCTAAGAATAGAAATTCTGTATGAGAAGGTGACAAACTTAATTTGGAAAGAATATGTTACCCATGCTAGATTAAGCAGTTCACATCAGAATATAATAGCCAACAAATACGTGAAAATATTTTCATCCTGTATCAATTTAAAAACTACTTAAATGAAATGAGTGTACTTATTGCCAGAGTGAAAAAGATTTTTGGATGGGTTGTTAGGTAAAACAGGTATCAGCTGAAAGCAAATCATTTGCATCACACAGGGTCCTAGTTAATAACAGGGTCTCTGGTATTAGACTTTCTGGTTTTATTTCCTGATTCTGCCACTTAGGATCTTTGCACTCCAGGCTAATTAATCTCTAAACTTCCATTTCTTCCTCTGTAGAATGGGGGGTGTTAAGAATAATTATGAGGAATAATGATACATTACTTAGTGGAGTTTTTCAGGTACCATATAAAAGTGTTTATTACAGCATCTTTATAATATCTTAAATGAAATAAGTCATAATTTTCAGTAATATAAAATTACGTAAACTGTTCTATCAGGAAGAATATTTTGTAGCCATGAAAACTGTTTAAGCAAAATATTGTTGATTCTGGTTTAATATATATGTGAGTTCAAATTTGAGATAAAAATGACAAATATAATTTGTGAAACAAGATGTGTAATTTGTCAAGTGTAAAACAAATGATCTGTTCTGTAAACCTTCACTCAATTCACAACAAAGTTTTTTAAAAATTAAATCTGATATCAAATCTACATATGATTTGCCTTTATTAACGAGCAAAAAAAGACTGAAAGGAAGCACACAAAGTGTAAACATTGATTATCGTTGAGTGATGGAGCGATTTTATATATGCTGGTAATTAAAATTATACTAAGCATTCATTGAATTTATACATAAAGCAAATGACTTTAATATCAAAATAATCTTACGATAAACTTCTAGTATGTTCCATTCTTTTTTAGAATCAAAATATCACTAAAAAGCTTAAAATTTTAAATGTTTTATATAAAAAATGAAGTATAAAGTTCAGAGGTCCAAATTAGAATTTATATGTATAAATCCTTTATTTTGCCTTTTCTCTTCATGACTTTGTTTTAATGGCTTATGTAAACTCAGTAAAGTAAAATGGGTATTAATAAATGTTAGAGTGCTTTAATATACTAATACACTTAATAGTATTGTTTGTAACAGAGAATGCTTCTTGTTTTGTACTTGCATCTTTGATCTGTATAGCCTACTAGAAATTTGTGAGTTTGTCAGGTGTTAAAACAATTGGGGTGGGATTTCTTTATACATGTAAAGGAAGATTTTTTTTTATGAAAATACTTAAATACCTTTGGAGTTTAAAAAACTATTTCTTTATTCCTTCTATCATAAATTAAGGTTTTAATTTTTGTGTTGCAGATCATACTATCAATCTAGTGTCAATGGAAGTAACAGTAAATGCCGTAGCTGGTGCTCTTAAAGCATTCTTTGCAGATCTGCCAGATCCTTTAATTCCATATTCTCTTCATCCAGAGCTTTTGGAAGCAGCAAGTAAGTGTCAGTCTCCCTTCTTTGAGGGGGTGATACCAGCAGTTGTTGAATGACAATTGTGAAATGTTAAAATCAGTCATGCTCTAGATTACATAGCTTACTAGACCTGTCTTTATTATTAAAGGCATTTCCCTATAAATAACTAAGAATCCCTGGGGGCAGGACCTGAGAATATTGAGTTTTAACTAGTTTCTCAAGTGATTCACATGCTTCTAAAAGTTTGAGAATCATTGTTTTTGCTTATCCATCACGTTTCAGTATAGTCTCAATTGTCTCTTAGAGTGAGCATAGCAGTAAGCACTGTTACATTTTTATACATACGATTTTCACACAAATTCCCAACTCTTTAATTTTACAGAAATTTCGGATAAAACAGAACGACTTCATGCATTGAAAGAAATTGTTAAGAAATTCCATCATGTAAACTATGATGTATTCAGATATATAATAACACATCTAAACAGGTATTATTTTGTTTTGATTTATAAATAAAACTCACTACGGATTCTAAATGTGTAATTTTATAAATTAGTTATATTATTTTTAAAATTATTATTATTTTTAAGCTTAAGAGTTTTAATCAAATAGTTCCTGTGTGTTCTATCCCCCCGTAGGATTGGTATAATATATGTAATGATTATATAAATAGTAATTGTGGGAAGTAACTTTTAATACCACATTCTTTGACACTTTCTTATTTAGAATCATTGAATTTTAAGTAAAAAAAAAAAAACCATAATTAACTGTACCAACTTATCTGCAATTTAGAAAAAAATTAAGGCTTGAAGATAAATGAAGTATTTAAAGTTGTATAATAAATAAGTGACATTCCTGAAATTTAGTTACATTGTGATATTGCCTTTGTATATCTTGTTTTTGATGGATATTCCACACTGAAATCTTACCAAAACTTGAATTTTTATTACTAACTTATTGCCTAAAGCATAGGACACTAATTTTTGTATTATTGTCCTAAATATGTTGACCTTAAAGTTTCTCCTTTTATCTAAAAGGATACTTCTCTTAAATCTTGGTAAGTCTTGATTTTCTCAACTGTAAAATGAGAATACTAACACTCTATAGAGGTATTCTCACTACTAGATCAAACAACCAAACCTGTCGCCTTTGAATCCATCCCAACTCTCCTCTATCGTGTAAGATAGAGTGTAAGTACCCCATAGGATTCCCAAAGCTGAGTCTTTATGGAAGCAAACTGCCATATCTTCTATCATTGAGCATCTGGTGGGTTTGATCCACCCACCTTTTGGTTAACACTTGAGCACTTAACCATTATATCACTTGAGCTCCTTTTTAAAGGATTTGAATTATTAGTATTTATAGTAATTTTTTCAAAAGTCTACTCTTTATAAACCATCATTCATCTGTCTGTCTGTCATACTGTGGAGGCTTACATGTTTCTGTGATTCTTGAAGCTATGTTACCAGTATTTTAAATACCAGCAGGGCAACTATAGTCGAAAGGTTTCAGCTGAACTTCCAGACTAAGATAGACTAGGAAGAAGGAGACAAACTACTTCCAAATATTTAGACACTGAAACGTCATCAATAGTAGTGGAACACTGTGAAACAGTATCAGAATACTGAATATTGAAACATGATGAAGAGCACTGGAATATTGTCAGATAATAGTGTCAGTGACTTCATTGCAAATTCCTTTGTTAAACAACATAAAAGATGATGACTATGCACATGGACCTCACCAGATGGAAGGTACAGAAATCAAATTGACTACATCTGTGGAAATAGACTATGGAAAAACTCCCTATTCTGAGTCAAAATAAGGCCAACGGCAGACTGTGAAACAGATCATCAGTTGCTCATATGCAAGATGAGGCTGAAGCTGAAGAAAATTAAAACAAGTCCGCAAGAGCCAAAATGTTGGCTTAAACATATCCCACCTAAATTTAGAGATCATTTCAGGAACAGATTTGACTCATACACAATATTGACTGGAGACCAGAAGAGTTACGGATGACATCAAGAATATCATACAGGAAGAGAGCAAAAGGTCATTAAAATAAGAAAATAGTGAATTGTTATCAGGACTGCTTATGAGGGTTGGCAATGTAAAGCTAGACGTATTGTAGCAAGGAGGGGAGTGATTAACTTTGCAGTCTAGGAGCAGAGTTCCCTGGGACCATCAAGGGAGAAGAGCGGAGAGCAGGACCCTACTCAGGAGAGAAGCAGTGATGCCTGAGATGGAGGCAGAGACAATGACGTGAAGAGATGGAGCAGCTGGGGACTTTAAACAGAGAGAGGAAGAGGGACTGTGTGCTGACGATCGGGAGGCAGGCTTGTAGTGTATACCCTTTGGTTGGTTGATGATGCATGGAGGGGATTGTAAACATGGCAATGAAACGATATACGATAGGATGAATGTAAAGCTATGTTCTCCCATGTAAACTATCACATAATTCACAATAAAACATTAATAAATAAATAAATAAGAAAAAGACCAAAATGAGTGTCAGAAGAGACTCTGAAACTTGCTCTCCAGGGTAGAGATGCTAAAACAAATAGAAGAAATGAGGAAGTAAAAGATCTAAACAGAAAATTTTTAAGGGCAGTTCAAGAAGACAACGTCAGTCAGGTATTAAAATGAAATGTACAACACCTGGAGTTAGAAAGCCAAAAGGAAAGAACACACTCAGCATTTCTCAAGCCTCAACTTTTTCAGCATTGAAGGGGGGGTTCTATGGGCAAAATCTTGAATGATGCAGAAAGCATCAAAAGGAGATGGAAGTAATACACAGAGTCACTCTGTATAAAATAAATGGTAAATGTTCAGCCATTTCAAAAGGCAGCATATATGACCAAGAACCAATTATTTTGAAGGAAGAGAAGTTCAAGGTGCGCTGAAGGCAATGGCAAAGAACAAGGCTATTGGAGTTGATGGAATACAGATTGAAATCTTTCAGCAAACTAATGCAGCACTAGAGACCCTTACTTTTCTATGCCCATACATTTGGAAGACAGTTCCTAGCCAACTGATTGGAATGTATTTGTGCGTATTCCAAAGAAAGGTGACCCAGGGGAATGTGGAAATCATCAGGCAATATCCTTAATATCAAATGCAAATAAAATTTTGTTAAACATAATTAAAAAATGGCTGCAACAGTACATTAACAGGGAATTGCCAGAGATTCTAGCCAGATTCAGAAGACGATATGGAACAAGGGATATCACTGCTCATGTCAGATGGATCTTGGGTGAAAGCAGAGAATACCAGAAAGATGTTTACCTGTTCTTTATTGACTACGCAAAGGTTTTTGATTGTTTGGACAAGCTATGGACAACATTGCAGAGAATGCATAATCTGTACATAGATCAAGAGGCAGTTGTTCACGCAGAACAAGGGATTTTAAATTAGGAAATAATGTGTGCCGGTGTTGTATTCTTTCACCATACTTACTCAGTCTGTCTACTGAGCAAATAATCTGAGAAGCTATTGTTGTTGTTAAGTACCGTGGAGTCGGTTCTGACTCATAGTGACCCTGCGTAGGGTTTCTGAGGCTGTAAATCTTTATGGGAGCAGAACACCTCATCTTTCTCTCGCGGACCCACTTGTAGTTTCCAACTGCTGACCTTTAGGTTGGCAGCCTGGCTGGTAACCACTATGCTACCAGAGCTCCAGTATTATATAAGTAAAAATGTCATATTAGGGTTGGAGGAAGTGTCATTAACAACCTTGCTTGCTAAATTGAATAGGACTTAAAATACTTCTGAAAATCAAAGATCACATCCTTCAGTGTGGATTGTACCTCAATGTAAAGATAACAAAAATCCTCACAACTGGACCCATAAATAACATCTAGATAAATGGAAAAAAGCTAGGAGTTGTCAAAGTACTCGTTTTGTATGCATCCACCATCAACACTCAAGCAACAGCCAAGAAATCAAATGATGTATTAGTCAAATCTGCACAAGATCTCTTTAAAGTGTTAAAGGCAAAGATGTCAATTTAAGGACTAACCCAAGCCATGGTATTTTCAATAGCCTCATATGCATGTGAAAGTTATAGTGTTGCAATAGAATATTAAAAGTACCATAGACTGCCAAAAAAAACACCAAATTTGTGAAAGAAATAGAAAGAAGTACATCCAGAAATGCTTCTTGAAGTCAGGATGGCCTGATTTCATCTCTCATACTTGAAACATGAAAGGATGGATCAGTCCCTGGAGAAGGATATGTTTCTTAAAGTGGAGGGTCAGGGAAACCCCCAACAAGATGAATTGGAACAATGGCAGCAGTAATGGGCTCAAGCGTAGCAATGACTGGTTGGCACCAGACCTGACAGTGTTTGGTTCTGTTGTGCATAAGGTCACTGTAAGTCAGTACCAAATCGACTCCTCACAACAACAACAACTTTTTATATTTTCTGTTGATGTTTTGGAGTACTGGTATGGATCTGTAGGATAAACACTAGGTTGCTAACCACAAGGTCAGTGGTTCAAACCCACCAGCCACTCCTTGGAAACTTTTCACAGGGTTGATAAGAGTCAGAACCAAATAAATGGATGGTACTTTTCACAACAACAATTGACATTTTAATGAACTAAAGTTTTTTGTTTTTAAGTTAACACTACTAAGGCCCAACCAAGTCACTTGGTGGGTTGTTGTTAAATGCCATTGAGTGTGTTCCAACTCAAAGTGACCTTGTATAGGGTTTTCAAGGAGCAGCTGGTGAGCTTGAACCGCCTATCTTTCAGTCTAGCGCATTAATCCACAGGACCACACCAGAATTTCAAGTCACATTTGTTGTTAAGTGCCGTCGACTCAGTTCTGACCCATAGCGACTCTGTATAGGGTTTCCAAGGAGCGGCTGGTAAGCTTGAATCACCAACCTTGTGGTTCAAACCAACTTTGCAGTCTAGTGCGTAACACACCAGGACTCCCCAAGTCACTTTAGTTAGTACTTAAAAGTGGTTAAGTATGTGGCTGCAGTGGTTCACACCTACCAGCCACTCCACAAGAGAAAGCTATTCAGTCTGTTTCCTTAAAGATTTCTAATGTTGTCAAGTTGATTTCCAACTCAAGGTGAGCTTATAGGACAGAGTAGAACAGCCACAATAGGGGTTTCTGTAAATGTTTGCAGAAGCAGACTGTCAATCTTTCTCTCACAGCGTGGTTATTGAGCTAAAATTGCCAACCTTTTGGTAGCCTTGTAAGCCCTCTGGGACAGTTCTGCTGTATAGGTTTGCTGTGAGTCAGAATTGACTTGACAGAAAAGAAGGGGGCTTGTTTTTGCTTTTTTTGTTGATATGCCAGAACTGTGTTAGTCTCTGATGAAACAGAAACCAAAAGCATATTTGAAGCACTGAAGAACAGCAGAGAAGCTTGTTACTGAAGCAGAGTGCAGGATGGTCAAATAAAGGGATGGGGGTCAGAAAGTATCAGATTAGATAGAACAGTGCTACTCAAGAGTGTGGTGTGTTGACCTCAAGCTTTAGTCCTCCAAATGTATTACTGATGGAGTTTGCTTTAGAATATAAATCAACTTATGTCAGTAAGCACACTGTTGAGTTCAGCCCTTTTGTTCGTTTTGTTTTTGTGCATGAGTTTCCCAGAGAGATTTGAGCAGAGGAGTAACACGGTCATACTTAAATTTTGGAAGTAGTAGTACTCAACTAGACTGTGGGGGAGGGATAAGATTCTGCTAATGAACAGAAGTCATCCATTTCATAGGGAGCTTATATTTTAGTATAGGAGATTGTTGCTGTTAAGTGCTGTCAAATCAGTTCTGATGTACAGCTATCTTATATAGTGTTTTCAAGGAGCCATTGATGGGTTTGAATCACTGACCTTTCGGTTCTCAGTTTAGTGTGTATCTTACAGGGCCACATCCATAATGAGTAAACTACAAAGACCACTGATAATCTGTAGAGTTGTTCTTGGTTTATACAAGCATGAGTCAAAAAGCATTCAAAATAAGACATTTAAACATGCCTTGCATTGAGCAGATTATTGCAGGCAAATTCATTCAGTAGTACACTTGTATTAGTCTCACTGAGGCGCCTTCAAAAACGGGTGTTTGGCGTTATGGGTAGATGTGCCAGACTGCAAAGCCATTTGAACTGCAAAGTCAGCGGTTCACGCTCACCAGCTGCTCCTTGGAAACCCTATACAGGGTCGCTATGGGTTGGAATCAACTCGATGGCACTTAACAACAACAAGGAGCTCTGGTAGCGTAATGGTTACGAATCGGGCTACAAACCTTAGGGCCAGCAGTTCGAAACTACCAGCCGCTCTGCGGGAGAAAGATGAGGCATTCTGCTCCCGTAAAGATTTACAGCCTCAGAAACCCTGTACAGGGTCGCTATGGGTCGGAACTGACTCAACAGCACTTAACAACAACAACAGGGGGTAACCTTGATAAATTTCTCTAAGGAAATGAGCTGATCATAGGAACTAACTATCAAGAAGTTTTAAGATAAATGAAAACCACATAGGTGAGAAAAAGGCCAAGGAAATTGTGCCAAGGAATTTTTTTGTTTTCTATCCCAACAATGCACCTGCTCATTTATTTATTTGTTTTTATCTCTCTTTTTTTGAGGATAGCAAGAACTTTCCTGTGAGAATTTTTATTGGGAAATCTTAACCCGTCCACCTCCAGCCCTGATCTTGCCCCTTCAGACTACTTGTTTTGTTCCCCAAACTAAAAGCACATTATAAAGGAACATGATTTGAGTCCTTCAAGGTTGCCAAAACTGTCATTTTGATGTGGCATGAATCAAAATGCACAGATTTCTTTGGTGGAAAGGGTTGAGAGATGGAAACATTACTTTCATAAGTTGTATAGCCCTAGATAGAGGATAGATCAAAACAGAAAATAATTTCACATTTTGATGTTTTTGTTTAATAATGATTTCTGTGATTTTGTAGCAATACTTTTTCATTTACTTTCATATTTTCTTTCATCCTCCATCTACATAGATATTGAATCAAGGCAGAATTTTCTCCTTTAATTAACTTTCCATTTTCTTATTTCTTCTGCTACTTCTCTAGTTTAGGTTTTATTGTTTCCCATTAAGAGAACTCCCTTTTCTTTCTAATTCAGCTCCCTCACTGCCAGTTTTTCTTCATAATCCTCCTTTGATCCAGCTGCTAGACTAGTCTTTGTAAAATAGTCTTCTACAATGGTTATTTGATTAAATTAAGGTCAGATCCAAATGCTTTAGGTGTTCTTGTTCTGACTTCTTTTATTTGCTTTCCTTTCCCTTTATACATAACACCAAGTAAGTTCCAACCACACTGAAGTAATCACAGTTAACCAAAAGTACCAAGTCATGCCTAGTCCCTCATCACGTAACACTGCCTCCATGGTTCTCAAAATGTGATTCCAAAATTATCAGGTCGCACATCAAACAGTGAGTCAAAAGTGCTGGGTAGGTAGCAGGAATCTTTGTTTTTTTTTTTTTTTTAACAAGCCTTCAAAGAGGTTATGATGCATGTTAAAATTGAGAACCAGTTTTGACTGAAGTGTATTTTTCTTCCTATTCTCATTACATTGGCTACCCTAACTAATTGATTTGGTACCTTTCCTTTGTTCTTTTTGACTCTTCAGTTAGACTTGATAAGCATACTTACTGTATATCTTTCTATTTTGCAGATATTTCTGGAGCCTAGCACTTGTCTACTACATAGAAAAACACCAGTTTAGAAACCATATTTTAACAAAAGGTTGATTTTTATTCCAAATATTATAATTTAGGATCTTTTTACAAATATGACTTACACTTTTTTTTTCTTTTGTGAGTTGAGTGATACCGGTTTTACACTCATCCCAGTTCATTTCATTGTATTTGCTTCTATTCCCTCTGGGTTTTGTTTTGTTTTTTGATATACACAGAAACACATAGGAATATATAATCATTTAAACAACCATAGGGCACGTTCTGCAAGATTGCCTCCTGGCCGCTAGCACACAGCCTTCTTTTCATGAATCTAGAGTCCCTCAGCTGCTCTCTCTCTCTCTCTCCATGTCCTCATCTCTGCTTCCATCTCTGGTGTCGCTGCTTCTCTTGATAGGGTCCTACATTCCACTGATGCGCTTCTCCCTCTGTTCCTAGAATGTAAGATTAACTACTCCCCCCTTTATGTTATAAAACTTCTACCTTTACAGTTGTAGCCATCAGAATTCATCATAACAATTGTGACTTAACACTTTTTGTTGTTGTTGTTGGCATGTGCCGTGGAGTCGATTCCGACTCATAGTGACTCTGTACAGGGTTTCCGAGGCTGTAAATCTTTACGGGAGCAGAAAGCCTCATCTTTCTCCCGTGGAACAGCTGGTAGTTTCGAACTGCTGACATTGCGGTTCGCAGCTAGGTTTGTAACCACTACGAACACTTTTTAGGACATATTTTTTACTTCAGATTTGCAACTTCTGTATTTAGATGGCTATAATTTGTTTGTTTTTTGGATGTATAAACTTAAGAATTTCCTGCTACTCATGTTTTTGGTCTGGCTTTTTAATGTGTGAAATAAGCGGACTGGATAAAATTCCTCCTGGTTTAATTTTGAGTTACTGAGCCAAGATAAGCTACTTACTGTTTATTATTAATGATGGTAAAGGTCCTTGTTGACATTTTTGAAAGACCATGTGTAAATAAATACATTAGTGATTGTAGATTATTTACATTTGAATCATAAGAATTTTCAGTTGCAGTGTGTTTTTGGGAACCTATCATAGATTTCAAGTGAGTCTTTGAACTAAAGTTTATAACATTGTACAAGATAATATTTAAAAGGTTATTTGGGGGATACTAGAAAGTAATTGGGTTTTTTTTTAGTTGAAAATTCTGGTGGTGGAATGTGATAAAGTAATTTTTTTTTAACTGGTTGAAAGATGGTGTAATGTGCTTTATCAAGCCTTTTCATATCTCTTATTGACAAGGCATTTAGATAATTAGAATTTCATTCTGTTGGAAACACATGAAAACTTATTATGTGACTTTTCACTCTGAGGGGAAAACTTTTTTTGTATTCAGACTATCATGGCTTTATGCAAGGGCGTGTCAAAAAGTAGGGAAAATGCCATTATATTTTTTAGAACTTTTATTTTACCAATTGACTTTTTATTATTAAGTTTTTATTGTGAATTGAGTGATAGTTTACATGGGAGAACACTGGTTTTACACTCATCGTTTTATTTCAACTATTACAATCTCTGTGTATCATTCAACAATATTTGCTTCCATTACCTCTATTTTTTGTTTTTGGTGCGGGGGGGGGTGTGTGTGTGTGTACACAAAAACACTCAGGAATATATAATTTAAGCAACCAAAGAGCACACCATTATCTTTTAATTCCATTTTTCCATAGACTTTTAGAAGCCCACTGTGGTGCAGCTTTTTTTAAAAAACGTCCTTTGATAATCCTAAGTATGTGGTTTGTACTGTTTACTTCTGTTACTAGAATATAGTAGATTGCTTGCGAAGAAGAATGTTTTAAATGTGGAGTTAAGATATAAAGCTGAATAACCACAACTCTGGAATTCTATAATTGTAGTGAGTTTATTGATTTCTAAATGTTTTCTTCCTTTAATTTCAGGGTTAGTCAGCAAAATAAAATCAACCTAATGACAGCAGACAACTTATCCATCTGTTTTTGGCCAACTTTGATGCGACCTGATTTTGAAAATAGAGAGTTTCTGTCTCCCACTAAGATTCATCAATCTGTTGTTGAAACATTCATTCAACAGTGTCCGTTTTTCTTTTACAATGGAGAAATTGTAGAAACTGCAAACACTGTGGCTCCTCCACCCCCTTCAAACCCAGGACAGTTGGTGGAACCAATGGTACCACTTCAGTTACCACCACCATTGCAACCTCAGCTGATACAACCACAATTACAGACGGATCCTCTTGGTATTATATGAGTAGGAAGTAATTGCGGACAGTCTGCAATTGGACAAAAAGCAAATCTAGACATGCATGTTTCAGGGTTCAGTAGTATACTTCATGTTTCTTACAGGTAGTTCACATTCTAAATAATGAGACATTTTCTCTTTGAACTATATGATATTCCTTATTTACATTACAGGTCTAAGACCATGTGATAGCATGACTGGAGAGGTTTAATTTTTATAAACAAAAATAGCTATAAAATACAAAGCTGCTGTTGCATGCAACCTTATTGCAATCAGTATATCATTCCTGTGGCGATTTCTGTCACATTATATTGTGAATAAAATTTTTCTATAGAAATTAAATGATTTAAAAACTCAAATATATGAAACATTAATGCTTTTCACCCTACTTTATGGCTGATTTTGTTATTTGATGTGCTAATCAGGGCTACTTAATTTGCATTTAGCAGTCTGTGTAGATAACTAAGAGCCCAGTTACATATTTTATATAATTTCAGGCTACTAATGCCATGCTTGGGATGTTAGTTGAAAGAAACAAAAATATATACTTGACATATTTCACATTTCTGCACCGTCATCTTATAACTAAACCTGTGGATGGTTTGACGAGGGGTAAATGAACATATTTCTTGTATACACATACCAAGGACATGCTTGTGGTTAAAGTAAGTTGATAATGTTGTGCAAAGATAGTTGTCACCAACTCATTTCTTTATGACCCATATAAAGACTTTTGTATACTGTTAATTCTGTAAACAGATGCATGTTCAAAAGATCTTTGATGATCTTGTAATCTTAATCTAATATATTTTAGATACTTTAATTTTTTTCCCTTTGGGGAATACATTTAGTATAGTGTAGAAAATAGTTCATGGCATTTTCATATAAGGTTATATAACTTTTCGTACATAAACATGAATTTGCTGTAGAAAATTCTTTACACCAAACATTTTAATCTAGGACTTCAATTTAATCTGTTCCTTGAATCTATTTTTATGTGGCCCTTAAAAACATATCCAAAAATCCATTGCTAATATAGCAATAAAAATACTTTGGGTACTGACAGCCTCTTTGGAGTGTGTATATATAAAATTACAAACCTTTATTCATATGCTTTCCTGTGATACGTTGTACTAAAATTCTAAATGACTTTTGCACCATTTTTTAAGTCAATATTTTCCTTTAATATTGGTACCATATTTGTTATAAACAGCTGCTGCTTTGGAGGTTAAACATTTTGCTAGTGACGATACAGCCAGAACACTAAATTATGGATAAGGTTCTCAGAATAAATGGCATCGGTAAACGGTTTTGTTGTTATTGAAAATTATTTCATGATCAAACCATGCCTTTATTTTTTTCTGGAAAGGAACAAACTGGCTTATTTTCCATTACTAGGTTATATTTTGCATTGTAAAGAAAAAATTCTTTGGTCAATGTTGTAATAGTCTTCATTCATAATGCAATTTTTAAGGTTTTCTTATGTGTATTATAGTAAATAGATGATTTTGAGAGCTGAGACTCCTAAGAGTTTGATTTGCTACATTCTTTCCTAAAATAAATACTGTCTTTTCCCAACTGTTATGTCCTAGGTATTATACTTCTAATTTTAACTTTAGAATCAAGATATCAAAATGAACCAGGCTGCTGTTAAAAGTACATGTATATTATAAATTATCTTGTGTTGTATTCTTACATGTTATTATCTTTTCTAAGAAAACAAAGTCCCTATTATTCCTATTGCAAAGCACACAGGAATTAAGAAAGTACAGTAATTTAAAAAAGAAAATCCGGTAAATGTAGTATTCTTAACTTGTTCTATATTACTTATACCTATTGTCTATATAGCTTTAATTTATAGCTGTCAGTTTAACATTGGCATGAATGACAAAGAAAATTAAACTTTAAGAGTTTTATAAACTGTTTCTAGGTTGCTAAAGAATTTATTTTTCTACTATATATGGTATAGACAAAGCATCAAACTATGTACAGGAAGAAAGCCTGACTATTTCTATTGGAAGTAGGCTGAAAAGAGAATTTTCAGAACTGTTCATGTCTTCAGTTCATTCTGTCATAACTTTGCTATTGTATAATATGTGAACCCCAGTTTATTTAAGCTATTATCTTTTATACTATGTTAATTTAACTTTCATAGTACAGTTTTTGTGTTATGACTAGCATTTACCATTTTTCATATTAACCACCTTGCATCTACTCCAAAACTTTTCTTTTCTATGCATTCTGTCATTGATTTGACACACTTCATAGTGTGTCAATTACATATTCTACATTTGGTTCATTTAACCAGTAGATTACAATTATTGAAAATTAAAGTGTGGTTTTAAAGCTCAGTCTGTTACACTGAATTGTGTTTGTTTTTGCCAAGGGCTTAGATATATTTTAAACTATTAGAAATATAATTCTAAGAGCAGAATAATATAATTAAAAATTTTTCTGATAATTTACTGGAAGGTTTCACTTTGAAGGGCATATGATATATGAGACTTTAAGCTTAAAGGATTAAGTGAATGTAAGATAGTCTCATAGTTCTGGGAAAACGTTGAGGCGTTATATTTTACAATATTCAATAAATGCCATCCACACATCTGTTGCCATTGTTTCATTTAAGGTTCAGTGCTTGTGATTTTACAATATTGAACTTAATATCTAGATTAGCAATATAAAGAGGCATAGTGGTACTCTGTCAAACTTTCAGTAGATTTTTTGAAAGTCAAAGTATATTCAACAGACACTAGGACATATAATTTAAGAACAAACTTTCAGGCACAATGTATTTCTGTTTTAAATGGTATTTGTTAGTAGTGTTTTTGTTTGTTTAACATTTTTTATGTAAATACTGTAGGTAACAACAATCTAACTTAGCTGAAAAGCAGCTTTTATTTTCCATACTGTATGTAAATAATGTAGACTTTTGAGGTACTGGAATTTAATTTCTAACATCACTTAGATATAAACAAAAGGGAACAATTGGAATAAGAACTTAGAAGTCTTAGCTTCCGTGGTGATTTTTTAGTTTTTTTATACAGTAATAATTGTGATGCTATTTGTTGACTGGATATAAATACATATATAATTTTTAAAAGTAAAATGCTTTGTTTCTTTGTTTTGCATTTAATGTAATTTTGTGTTTCACCTACAGGATGCTGCAGCAGTGAGCTAAATATCAGTGAAGCTTATTCTGTATATAAGATACTATGAATAAAACATTAAGAAGCTGTATAATTTTAAGTTCTAGTTGCCTCTATTTTTACCATTGCACTGGTAAAAATCATCTATTTTTTTCTAAAGTAAAATATGAGAAATAAATATATAAATTTGTCAGTATGAAAATTTAACTAGGGAGATACATATTGAGCTTTCACTGTACTATGAAAGGAGATCCAAATTCATCCTTGGTGCATAACTAGATTTTCTAAATGGTCAGATAAACAAGATAATGAAGTACTTATTTCTAATACACAACTACTAGCCTGGTCTGAAATTTGAGCTATGTAGCAACTAGAAATACTTAAAAGCGTTTTCTGGCCGTAGTAGAACTGCTGACATTGAAGAAAAATAAAATGTTTGTCTTCTGTCTTGATAGTTTGTGAATATTTAACCAAACTTTATAGCTATATATTGACAGATTCTTTGGATCTGTGAGGTCTGTTTGACTTACATCTTTGTGTGTGTTTATCTTGAATTTCCTAGTAATTTTAATTACGTACCTTAATTCTGTAGTCCTGGTGTGGCACTGTGGGATAAAGCACTAGACTGCAAGGTTGGTTCGAACCACAAGATTAGCAGTTCAAACGTACCAGCTGCAGCTTGGAATTTCTATACAGAGTTGCTATGAGTCACAGCTACTCATAGAGATTCTGTATAGGGTTGCCAAGAATTTTGAACTGCCAACCTTGCAGTCTGGTGCATTATCCCATAGTGCTACATCAGGACTCCTTTATATGATAGCATCTATATATAAAAAGATTACAAAGTTTAATGTCAAGTCATATTAAAATTTTTTTCAATCATTAGATGTTATCCAAGTTGCATGTTCTTTCTAAATTACTTAAAATCTGATAAATAATTTGGAGAATCTGTACTTACTCAGCTCAGCCTAATCATCCAGTAATAAGCATGGTTATATTTTTTCCCCCTCATAGCTTTTTGTCTTTGGTGTGGGTGGAAGTCATTGTTCTTAATTTAATAATTTTTTATAGAAATTTTTAAAGGTGATTAATGATAAAAAATTTGATTTTAACATAAAATTTAAAACCTTGAAATTAACATAGTTTTTGCAGTTATGGTTTAGTCATTTTTATCAGTAGTTAGGAATGCTAACGCTTGCAATATATGTACTTGAATTATGAGTAGCTATCAAGGAATTTGTAATTGAGTAATAACTTTTCAATTTTGTCTCAAATGGTAAAAATTATTGTGAATTTCATAATGGTTCTCCTGTTCTTCCAGCTATTTGCCTCTTGTTCAGTTAAGATTATGTTAATTTAGCCTATTTTATCTTTCCATCTTTTTTCTGTATTTTGTTCATCTAAGGAGCTCTGGTAGCGTAGTGGTTATGAATTGGGCTGCGAACTTCAAGTTCAGCAGTTCCCAGCTGCTCCACGGGAGAAAGATGAGGCTTTCTACTCCGGTAAAGATTTACAGCCTCAAAAACCCTGTTACAGGGTCACTATGAGTCGTAACTGACTGCATGGCACATAAGAATAACAATTTTAATATTCAAGGGTAAATCAAAAAAGTAGTGATCGTAGGGTTCAGTTCTTACGTGCGTTGGTTTTATTCCTAACAAAATGTGTTTAAACATGTTTCTGTGATTACTGGATGGCTGCAGATGAATTCTCTCAGTAATAACACTTGTCTCATTAGGGTGCTTTCAAACCAAGAAAAAAAGGGGTTTTGTGCCAAATGATTATTTGGTCAGGGCTAATAATTTTAAACAAAACATAAGCGGAGATATCTTTCAAAATTATTACAGGAATGCTATATGG